GAAATGATAAAGACATCAAAGTAATAAGTAGTGAGAGATACACATAAATAAGCTCTGCAACTGCTAAAATGGCAATCCTGATATAAAGAAGCATTTATCTAAATATTAATCCCGTGACAAATTATGTAGTCAAAACAAATCACAAGAAGCTATTCGGTCAAGCCCAAGATCAGATATGAGCTTGCATAATATTAAGAACTAAACGAGGTTGAATGATTATTTTAAACTAAGATGATTCATGCAAAAAAACCATCTTAAAGCATCTATGAATAAATGCAAAACTTACTTACAATAAATATTTATGTAAATTCCAAATGTTTTGCGATTACTTGACGTGTTTATACGGCAAACGGCTCCGTCCACGGACTAACGTATACAATAAATCATCAAAATTTATTAATCCCTTATTTTGTCAATAAGAAAAATACTTATTCCTACATAGATACAAAAGCACGAAAACCATTATCTCATAGCATAAATGTACCAATTAATCGAGTGAAGATAATAATTTATAACAATTTTAATTAGTTTAACGAAATGATTAAGCTTACCCATATGCCAGGAACAGAGTCTCCCCTCGTATAGTATGCCGTATTTGCGCTTGAACGATGAGCAGCTGTACCCATACCATAATGATTATTTTCGCAAATGAAAATAATAGGAAGATTATGAATTTTTGAAAGGTTAAAGGCCTCAAAAATTTGACCTTGGTTAGCAGCACCATCACCGTAAAGAGCTAAACAAACATTTGGTTTGCCCAAAAACTTGTTAGCAAAGGCAATTCCTGTACCAAGAGGAATCTATAACAAATTTCTATAGTATATGTTAAAGATAAAAGTAAAGTAAACTGTTACAATGCTATATTGACTTACTTGTGCACCGACAATGCCATTGCCTCCATAGAAGTTATTGCCATAAATGTGCATGCTTCCTCCCTTTCCCTGAGTTGCGCCTGTGCTTTTACCTGCAAGTTCTGCTAAGATAGAATGTACTGAATTTCCACGAGTATAACAAAAGGCGTGACATCGATATGATGTAATAATAGAGTCCTCTTTGGAAATCGCAGCTTCGATACCAACAGCAATAGCTTCCTATTTAATCAATGAAGAAAAAAAAGTTTATTAGAACAAAATAGAAAGTGATTGTACCTGGCCTGTGTAAAGGTGGCAGAAACCTCGAACTATTTTTTCCTTATACATATTTCCGGCTGTTGTTTCCATTCTCCTTATTGTGTAGAGATTTTTAAAATAATTTAATGCATGCTCGCGCAAACATTTTGCTTGACTATTTGGTGATTGATCAAGTCTGTATAGTTTATATTCAACGGTTGGAATATTGGCTGATTCAACCGTCGACATCGGGCGGTGGAAGACAATAGGAATCAAAGGAATTCGGTTCTTAGAAAAAGATTTATCGATATATTGCGTGAAGTTACTATCTTACTATATTACTTTTTATTCTAAGTGAATTAAATATCATAGTCATACAGCGGCAACTTAAAATAATTTCAAAAGCAGCTCCCAGGACAGATAGTTTGCAACCTGCGCACAACTAATGAATCGTCCAAATACTTTATCTAACGTTAAAAATATTAAGATTAGTTTTTATCTTATATTTTTCAAAAATTAATTATTTAAATTAGAGTTTTATGGAATTTTAATCTGCTTTGTCTACCTTTTTATTTGTCCACGATTTCTAAATATGAAGAGAAACTTGCTTTCGATTAATCTCTTGAGATAATATTGTTAGAAAGACTTTAAATTCGTATGAAAGTGAATGAAAAAAGAGATTTGTTGGTCGATTTCATCAGATGAGGACGGATTAATCTCGTTATACTGCAGCCGTTTGGCTTTTATACGATATTCATTCACTATCATACGAACTGAAAGTCCCCCTAACAATACGATTTCTAGAGTGATGACAAACCCAGCCCTTAATGCATGCCAACCATAACGAGAATTGCTAATTAGTTTTGCACTTTTTAGCTTATATAAATGCTACCTGCAATCAAGAGAACATAAATACTAGCCCAAGTTTTAAAATTAGTGTATGTTCACTCTTGGAACAATAAGCTTTTAAAAAGGCTTTAAACCCATATAATAAAGATTGTAACAGATATTCATGTCTTCAGCAATAGAATAATTAATATAAC